ACTTGCCCTTCTTTCTCTGTTTCTTCTGTTTCATATATTTCTTGTGTTTCTTCATTTCTTTTCTGTATGACCTTATTACATTCGACATTGAAACTATTCCCTTTTTGTATTTTTCTTTTTCTTGCCTATGATTTTTCTTGCTGCGTCAATAAATTTTGTTTTTGATTTCTTCCCAATGTTCTTCGGTGCCTAGACTGCATGTGTCTGCCAGTGTTTGTGTTTATTTCTCTCTCATAGTTCTTTTTGACATATTTTTGTTTCAATTTTTGTATATCTAACGGATCTGTTCTTTGTTCCTGTCGTTCCCTCCTGTTTCTCTGAATTCTGCATCTGTATTTTATCTGTAACTAGGATATGGTCAGATCCGCAACATACTCCACTTCGGGCTCCTCACATCTTGATATGCTTGTTGCGGCCCGTTTGTCTATCAAGACATGATTCAATTTTGATTGTCGGTTGTTCCTCCAGACATATTCCATGTCGCTTTGGAGTCGGTTGTTTAGTATGTAAGTAAAAATTTATTCATAACATATTAGACCAAACAAATTAATACATTACTCAAAAATATAAAAAAAAAAATTACCAGTAACAAAAAAATATATCTCTTGTTTGGTCTGGTGGGGTCTGAGAACCCAGTCGTTGCTCGACTGTTAAAATTGCACTGACTACGAAAGTTTTGTTTCAACTCAGGCAGATACTTGCCGCGATACAGTTAGTTTGGAGTAGATACATATAATATGGCGCCTAGATATTTGAACCGTTGGGTCCATTAGACCCCACCAGACTAACGCAGAGGCTTAAATGAGATTGCACACTATTTAAAACTAAAACAGGAATCATAAGAAGAATCCATAAGGACCATAAGAATCTTTTGATACATTTGTATAAAAATCAGTATACATTTTCGTATTTGTTTAAAATATCTAGTTGATTCTTATGATAATTCAAAATATGTAGGTATAATCTCCCGAATAGTCAACAATAAAACATCTATGTTGACTATAATTGTTGTAGGAGTGAAGTCTACTGTGTTTCTATCTAAATCCTTCACATAATGGAGGTGAGTTACTATTAGTCCAGTATGATCATGTGATATCTTGAATATTTAGGCTGGATATTTTGTACGTAAGTGTTAAATTTTTGACTTTACACTTTATGTAAATCATTTTTTCTGTTCTTGAAGGTCTTTCAGATTTAACGGAGGTTCCACAATTTATAATCTTAATCGTCCAATTGGAGTTGATTCTATTTCACTAATGCAGTGTCGCATAGCTTTGTTTTGTAAAGTGTCTAATTTTGAGTAATTTATTATTTGCACAGCCCTATAGAAAGCAAAACATAATTTATAATAGATCTTATATATGATTTATAAAAAGTCAAGTCAAATTGATTAACTCACAAATTTTACCAGATTTGTCAGTCTAATCCTACCTAAACATTTGTTATACATTTTCTCTTAACTCTTTCATGTTGGAGAGAAATTTGATGTTTTTTTTGTTTAATTGATTTTTAAGTTTTCTTTTGTTCTCTCTCGAATCTATGGTTTTTTTTATTCACGCTACTACCGCTATCACTATTATTATCGCTAGTAAAATCCAACCACATTGGTTTTACATGATTTCTAATACTTTGATGTTGAGGTTACGCATTTGATTCATCTCTTCATTAAATGCGGTCTTTATTTATTAGATATTTAGATAAATAGTTAATGCTATAATACAAATTATGTACTTGTACTTACACACGTAAAATATCTATAGCAAATTATAGCCTAGTCAATAAAAAATTTAACATTCGTAAAGCATTTTATATATGGTTTGAAATCTGTATATTATTTAACTCGAAGTTTAGGCGAGAAGAAATGATTTTTTTATTAAGTAAACATTTAATTTTATGAGATCATTATTTCAACCCTAATTAAAATTTCAAAATTGCAAAAAAGGTTTCATTAGGCGGTTCTGTAGACTAGCGCGAAGCTTATTCTTTTCACAATTTCATAATATTTTCAATTCAAATTTTCAAATTTCTATTCAAACAGCAGTTTTTGCAAGCGTAGCTTTGCAGCATGGAACCAAAAGAAGATTTCTACAAACTGCTGGAAGAAGTATTGAACAGCTCACCAAGAAACGACATCAAGATCGAACTTTTCTTAGGAACCTTTGGTAAACATTCCTAAACCTTTGGAAAACCTTTCCACAGGAATAAAAATTAATGGAGAACCAATATCTAGCATAAGATATGCAGATGACACTGTCCTACTGGCTGATACAGACACAAACTTACAGGGGGTTATAGACCACCGTAAGGATGCTTGTCGAGAGTTTGGAATGAAGATCAACGAAAAAAAAAAAAAACAAAAGTAATGGTGATCCAAAGAAAACAGAAATATCCCCTTACCTATAAAAATAAATGGGAATATTTTAGAACAGGTAAACCAATACAAATACCTTGGCTGTTGGATTAATTGCAAGCTGGACCCAGAACAAGAAATTAAAGCGAGAATTGCTCAAGCTAGGGATAGTTTCTTTAAGATGCGCGTTCTATTCTGCTATACACATATAAATATTAAATTGAGATTAAAACTTGTAAAATGTTTTATCTGGTCTGTTCTTCTCTACGGAGTCGAAACGTGGACTTTAATAATAAAGAGCCTGAATAGAATCGAGGCATTTGAAATGTGGGTGTACCGTAGAATTTTAAAAATTCCTTGGACAGCACGAAAAACAAATGAAGAAGTACTAGCTAGACTCAATTTAGAAAAAGAACTATTGAGAACAGTCAAAAGAAGAAAAAACCAGTTATTTAGGGCATTTGTTGCGCAACGAGAAATACTACATCCCTCAGTTGATAATAAAAGGCAAAATAGAAGGAAAGGAGAGGAATTGGAAGAAAAAAATTGTCCTGGTTACGTAATATCAGAAACTGGACAGGACTTGGATTTGAGGAACTCTTAAGAGCAGCTGAAGATAGACAAACGTTTGCCACCATAACCGCTAACCTCCATTGATGGAGACGGCACTTGAAGAAGAAGAAGGTAAACATTCACTCCATCAAAATACCAATGAAAATGGAGAATTACTTATCAACTTTGCCGCTAGAAAAAACATGATCATAAGTTCAACTTTTTTCCCACACCCCGACATACACAAAGCGACATGGATTATGCTTGGAGGAACAACCGCCAACCAAATTGATCATGTCTTGATAGACAAACGGGCCGCAACAAGCATACAAGATGTGAAGAGCCGAAGAAGAGCATGCTGCGGATCTAACCATATCCTAGTACAGATAAAATACAGATGCAGAATTCAGAGAAACAGGAGGGAACGACAGGAACAAAGAACAGAAGAGTTAGATATACAAAAATTGAAACAAAAAGATGTCAAAACGAACTGTGAGATAAAAATAACACAAACACTGGCAGACACAGGCAGTCTATACACAGGCACCGAAGCACATTGGGAAGAGATCAACACAAAAGTTATTGACGCAGCAAGAAAAAGCATAGGCAAGAAAAAGAAAAATACAAAAATGGAATGATTCAATGACAAATGTAATAAGGCCATACAGAAAAGAAATGAAAAACACAAGAAATATAGTAAAAGAAGAACCAGAGAAAGAAGGGCAAGTCACCAAGATGCAAGACGGAGGGCCGATAAAATATGCCAAACCGAAAAAAGAAAATATGAAAACGGCAATATACAGAAAGTGAAAGAAAATCTTTAAAGCAACAATATAAGACAGACGTGCAGATATCTACGCAATTAAGGAGAAAAATACAAACCACGAACAAATCTATGCAGAAATCAAGAAGGGCAAATAACCAATGATCCAAAAGAAATAAAATCAGTCTGGAAAACCTATTTCCAAACTCTTTTAGAAACACAAAAAATTAAGAGCATATGGACATGCATCACAATGAGGAAGACACCGAAAATATAAAACTCCCAACGATGGAAGAGGGAAAACAGGCAATGCGAGCACAAAAGAACAGTAAAGCTCTAGGTATTGAAAACTTCCTACCTTAGCTATATAAATTGGGTGGCGATTAGCTAGTAGGACAAATGCATATGCTCATGAACAAGATTTGGAATGATGAAAATATCCCTAATGATTGGAAAACCGGGATCTCATAAAAAGCCTTATTATCTCATAAAGACCAATCTATAAAAAGGGGATAAACTGAAATGCGAAAATTATATATAAGCATAACCCTCTTCTGCACGGCGTAAAAAATGTTTACTTACATAGTACTAAACAAACACACTCCAACAATTAATTAAAAAGATATGTTGGAGAATATCAAACCGGTTTCCGACAAGAAAGATCTATCACTCAATTAATAGGAACAAGTTATATTAAATATTGCAGAGCTTTAATATCCTTCAAAAATAATTGCAAAAATCAATGCAGGGGTTGTTAAGAATCTTTTAAAAACAGAAAAATCTACAGGGTGTTTCATTAAAAATAAGGATTATGGACTATGCTAGACTTGCGTGGACCACCCTGTACATTTAAATTTATGTTTAAAAAGCACACATTTAAATTTAAAAGTTAACGTGTCCCAGAGTTTTTTATTATTTTCTACAATAAGGGCACAAACAATTTTATTCCATAAGTGGTTTCCACACTGTATATACCTACATCATGCAAAAACTGTAAAAATAACATCATTTTTAATAATATTATGACGAACTCAAACATTTACAATGGCAATTATACCTAATAACATATTTCGTTTAAAAATCACTAAACCAGGTCGACGCGTTTTCGGAAAAAACAATCAATAACTGAAAATCCTTAAATTTACTAATTGCGTGACACGTTTCTCGATACAATGACGAAACAAAAACGAGAGTTTCCCATACACTCGGTGATAATCTTAATTCGTGTGGTTATTCGAATCTGATGTAACATCGGTATCAAAATAATTATTTTACAATGTAATAACAATTCCATGGTTTGTCGTTCTTTTTAACGCTTATGCCGATAACACGATTCTTTCGTCATCAACGCGAGCATATAAATTCTCTGTGCAGAAGCTCCATATCGTAGAAGTTTTTAAGTTGACGAGATTTCAAAGTTGCTGCTAGACTTCAGTCACAGGTACTTTATTAATATTAGATTATTAAGTCTAATTGCCAAAAAACGCAAGGTTTTGTTTTTAGCACAAACTTTTATTTGAATTGTCACGAGCTTAGAATTTTACAAAAGAAAAATTATGAGTTCGTGACAATTTGGGACTTTTTATTTTTGTAAATAGTGCCACTAGACTGGATTGGATTGTTGGCGTATATTAGCTTACGTATTCCGATCCATTCATTAACTTTACGTCTAAAACTCTATTAAGAAAATTTCTTTTTCCGAAAGTAACTCGCATTCTACGAATTATATTATATTATGGACCAATGACTCTTCGTAGAGTATAGGTCGTTTAATATCCCGTGAGCTCTTTTATTCCAGTTAACGCGGTGGAATATTTCGCATGTATCCTTTGGGCTATCTTTTAAAGAATATGTTTTTTTTTTGGTTTTGATGACTATCTTTTTCCACACTCTCCGGTGTTGATTCCTTTATCTCCCGTTTGCAATTTCCATCCTTGATATATTCTCTAGTATTGGTATTGGTTTCCAGTTGGATATTTCCTAATTGGTGCATCTTCTTTCCTTCTCTGTATGTATCTAAACTATCAGTCATTGTGCTTTAATAAATTTTATTATAACTTTCCCTTCGGTTATATTTATTATTTTATGGTTCATCTTCTTCATCTTATGGTGTCCTATCAAATTAGTGAATGTTGGCGATAATTCTGGCGTACTCCTTTCAATCTTGTATGGCTCTAAACAATGCATGGGCATCGAGGTTTGTCTAATCCCTTATGTTTTTAGGTCATGAGTATTTCTTTCTTTCTATGCCTCGTTTCCCTTCCATCTTCCCTTCCATGGTTCATTTGTCTTTATTTTTTTGCTTTAAGCAATCTGTGATTCTTTCTCTCCAGTTTGCAATTTCCGTCTGTGGTATATTCTCTAGTAGATAGTTTTTCCATTTTATTTTTTGTCTTTCGCTTGATCTGTTTATTACTGGTTTCCAGTTGGTTATTTTCATGATTGGTGCGTCTTCTTCCCTTCTCTGTATGTATCTAAACTATTTCAGTCGTTGTGCTGTAATAAATTTTATTATATCTTTCCCTTTGGTTATGTTTATTCTTTCATGGTTCATCAGTCTTCTATATTCTCCGTGTTCTGCCTTTATTGGTTTGTGTATTCTTCTCATAGTTTTTTGTTAAATTTTTTTATTTTTTCGTCATCTTTTTTCGTAAGACACATTACTTTTGCTACATATGTTAACACTGATCCAATTGCTGCTTTATATATTTTTGTGTTTATTTTTTTAAGCAATCGGTTGTTCTTTTAGATCCAGTTTGCAATTTCCATCTTTGATATATTCTTTAGTAGTTAGTTTTTCCATTTTATTTTTGTTCTTTCGCTTGATCTGTGTATTACTGGTTTCCAGTTGGTTATTTTCCAAATTGGTGCGTCTTGTTCCCTTCTTTGTATATATGTAAACTATCTCAGTCATTGTGCTTTAATAAATTTTATTAAATCTATCCCTTCGCTTATATTTATTATTTCATGGTTCATCTGCTTGTTCTTCTGCCGATGTGACTCTATCTGCAGCCATTCTGAAAAGTTTTATTGACGTTTTCCCACTCCATTGTCTCAGATTCTTCAACCAGGACGTGCGTCTTCTCCCGGGTCCTCTTTTGCCTTCTACCTTCCCTTGTATGATCAGGCGCATCAATTCGTATTTCTTGTTTCTTAGTATGTGACCAAAGTAGCGAATTTTAACTTAAGTACTGATATCTGTGCACCCTGCCTAAAACTTTTCTTTTAGCAATAGCTTTCTTCCTCAATCTTGTTTTTGCTTACCACCATGATGCATGTTTTATTTGTATTCAGTGCCATTTCATACCTTTCGCAGTATTGGGTAATGCGACCAACCAAGATCTGTAGTCCTTCTCTGCTGCCCGCAAGGAGTATTGTGTCATCGGCGTATCTAAGATTATTTAGAAGTGATCCCTTAATAAATATGCCTTCATTTATGTCTTCTAATGCCTCTTTAAACAATTCTTCTACAAACATATTAAAAAGTAAAGGTGAAAGCACACATCCTTGTCTTACTCCACGATTTATAGGCATTTCTTTCGATTTTTCTTGGTCTATTCGTATTATGGCTTTCTAATATCGGTATAGATTGGCAATTATTCTCACGTCTTCGTCATCTAATTCTGTGTTCTGCAGTATTTTTGCCATTCTTCAGTATTGTACTTTGTCGAAAGCTTTTTCGAAGTCGACTAGACATATGAATACGTCGCAATTGACATCTCGACATCGTTTGATTAGTGTTTGTACAGTAAATAATGCTTATCTGGTGTCAAAATATTTTCTGAATACCAATTGGTTTTCAGCTATTCTATCATCTAGCTTTTTATAGATACGTTCGTGTATCACTCGTAAGAACACTTTTAGAATATGGTTCATCAAGCTAATTGTCCTGTGCTCTTCACACTTCATTGCGTATGATTTTTTGAGTATTGGAATGAATAATGATATTATTCTTAAGATTTCTGTAGGTATTTCATCTGGTCTATGGCCTTCTCATTTTTATACGCCCATTTCTTCCTCTTGGTTCAATGACCTCAATTTTCTCGTCGTCTTTATCTGTACATTCCGTTATTATCTTGTCATTTCTATCCATGGTATTTCCGATACCCTTGTTCTTGTATATGCCAGCTGTTTCTTGGATTTTCCTGTGTTTGTTAAAACAGTCATGTTTTTTATCTAACCTTTCTATTTCTTCACACTTTTTTTAGTTTCTTAGCTTCTTTGATTTTCTATTTGATTATTTTATTAATTATTTTGTACTGCTCATCGTTTATTTTTAGATGATGTGTCTTCTTGAAGTTTTTTTTTGTGGTATTTCTCAAGATCTCCTTCACTTTTCTCCATTTATCTATTGCTGTCAATTGCTTTTGCCTTTCTACTTCCTGAACTTCTTTGTGCCCTTGTTCTTTGACTTGTTGGTATATATCAGTTTCTTTTAGTTTTCTCAGATTGATTCTGAAGCCAGAAACGCATTGCACTTTATTCTTCATTAACTAAAAAACATAATGTAACATTTTATAACGCTATAAACGAGGCTTATTTTTTGACAAACTTTTCCTTATTTTTCAAGAAAAAGTTAAACTGTGTACAATAAAAATTCGCTCTTTTCTAACGTATTGTTTGTTTTAGAAATGGCACAAGCTAATGTTATCACCACTAGATCTCTTGGTACCGCTTCTGAAGGTATTAGAGATCAGTACGCCGATGGAAAGGCGGCAAAAGTTTGGGAAGTCTTCATTGGAGACAAAAACTCCAGAACTCAAAATTACAAAAACTTTTTGGTGGGATTATTGAAGAGAAAGGGATGCAAAAGAATTTTGGATGTAGCTTGCGGAACCGGGTAAGCAATATATTAGATGCATAATTACTTTTTAATGTTTAATTTATTATTTATTAGCTTTAAAAAACATTTTTACAAGCAATGTTTACCTTTTAAAACCTGCTACAGGTATTGTAATATCATATTATGTCAGTGGTTCAAATATTTCGAGCTTTGAGCTTTTCAATGTTCCTTAAATGGTTAATTGCTTAACTCAAAAACGTTATCTATATTATTTCATAATTGTTAATACTACTTTTTGCGTCAGTGGTTTCGAGTTAACGCATTCATGTAATCATTAAAATATTTTAACCTTAGATATACTTTATGTATTAAAACTTTGATAAGATTGTTTTTTATTAAAAAATATTAGTCAATGCTGGACTTTCACAAATATGATAAGTAATGGTATAATTTTAACAAATATTTAATAATTAGGAAATGCAATTTAATTACTAATATAAATCATTTATATATTTTATATAATTGATTGTGGGTTGGGAATCGCAACTTATTTATAATACATCAAAAACCGCAACCACAACAATAAAACACAAACCGTACCTAACCATGAATAAACATCGGAAGATTTGTCGTGTCATCTAAACCATTATGACCACACTGGAATCATTTACGCATTGCTGTTCTAATCTAACACAATTTGTCAGAATAAACTCCCTTTTCTGTAGTATTTATCCTCAGTCCAGGATGCCGCCTGATTGACCTTGATGCAGAATTCGGTCTTGGTAATCCCGGCGATAGTTCCCTAGGTACTTTAAAATGCCCTCTCATCTAGTCTACCCCAAAACCTACATGCTTAACCCTCCTTTGTTATCCAGCGATCCTGATGCGGATTGGCCGCTATAAGGCCGGTATCATTTCCGAAGAACTACCTTCATTCTCCATTCTTCCACATCCACACTCCATTCATTAGCAAGAAGACTCCGTGTCTCGTTCCAGGTAACGCGTAGAAGATTCTCATCGCTCCTGGTACGGCATCACTCTCAGACGTGCATTTCCTCCTTCCCCACAGTCTGACTCACTCAGCCTAACTCATATAGTTTGACCCACTTTTCTAGCTTCAACTTGTAGCATCTTTTCCTCTGACCTTTGCCGTTAGTCCAGCTGTCTTTCTTCCTCTTTTTTTTTTCTTGATCACTGCACGGACATAGTTGTGTACGTTAGTCCAACCTGTTTTATTTTCAACCATTCTCTCAATCAGTTCTTTCACTGTAACAAAATTCACACCTGTCTCTTTTTCCATTCTGTTCCTTTCTACTATTCATCTGTTGCACTCTAACATCATATGTATCACAGTGTCTGTGTGTCCACAGTAGTCCACAGGCATTCATCTGTGTCAGCCTTTTCGAACCTAAAGAGGTAGGCCCTAAAACACCCGTGTCCTGTAAGCACCTGCGTTAGGAAATAATCCAGTCCCCTGTAGTCACAGTCCACCCAATCTCTTACGTTCGGGATCAGCATTTTCGTCCACTATGCCACATCCTCCGTGTTGTTCCATTCTTGCCATCTTTCAATTGACCTTTCCCTTTCCTGTCTTCCCTCGGCCATAGTAAGGTTTGTACCTCTTTTCTCGTAGAGCTCTTTTCTTTTCACTACCAAAACATGCAACGAAAAACATCCAACGGTGATCCACAAGGCTGCCGCAGACACAGTCCTGTAGGTGCATGCCACTAGCAACAGACTTGTTCCTCCCGCACGTGCTCCCCCAATTTTCTATTCTAGTGCAATGTCACTCCTAGCTACTTTACATGTTTCTTGTCTGTTAGACATGCTCTCGTACCTTGTGATTCAACACTACCTGTTCCTTTTGCCCTTCAGAATGAATCAACTTCAGTGAAACTAGACTGGTCAGGTGTCGAAATAATTAATACTTGATGACAGATGGCTGAAGAAGATATTGGAAGGCTACCAATAACTTATAAAAGATGTAGATGTTTCTGAGAATACATTAAGTGGCAGAAGAGCTTTCAAATTATATTTCTATCAATATGTGGAGAACTGGAGAATAAAATGATATATTCAAATATCTTCTCAAATATGCATATTTTTCTACAAAGTTCTTATTAAAGAGTGAGAATTTTGAAATAATACACAAAACTCTTGAAGCACACTGACAAGAGCTTTTAAATTACATATTACTGTACAATAATGTACACAATCATAACAAAAATAAAAACAATAATTATCGTTACGAATATCTTCTTGTTTACTTTGTTGTAGGTTTGTTAACTAAAGATATGTTGACTTAGGTTATGTTAGATGATGATTTTTTTTAGTCGTGTTTTTATTTGTTGTTATTTACATGTTCTATTAGAACTAAAACCATTATTTGCGAATAAAAAACAAATAAATAAACAACCGGTATGTATGTATTAATTCATTCAATCAAGTCGTGTTTCTCTAATAGCTGGCAAATATTTTTGTTATATTATATTTTTTAATTCTTATTTATCCCCTTTCTCTTGTCGTTTCCACATTAATGAGAATCGTGATTTTTTTCAATATTCCCAATTTTTCTCTATTGGTCTCTATCTTCAGCTGCTATGAGAGCTTTGTAGAATGCGTTTCGAGCTAAATTCTTAATTTGGACGGACCATCTACTTGGTGACCGTCAAAGTCAGAGAAGAAATCAATTATGTAATATTATAAATTTGGCCAAATATTAAATCCAATAAATAATCCGTGTTTCACATTTTTATGTCATTTAATGCATGAGGTTGTTAGGTTACGTTATGTTTGTTTTGTTCGTATCTTTCTTAGTTCAAGGGAAAAACATCTCTTCACGTTTTACCAAATATACAACGACGTAGATTGAAAAATTTAACAGTTAAACTAAATTTATCTACTTTTTAAAACAACAATATATGTTATTTTAGTAATGATAAACCATGACATACAGTTTTGTTTATATTAAACGATTTCTTGTATTATTGGTAATTTCATATCTATTTATAAGTTATCTTTAAGGTTTAAAAGGGTTATGATTTCCCCATAATCCAAATTGATTACGGACATTTTTTAATTTTAGTGCATTGTGTAATTAAACGTTGACCCAAAAATAAAAAAAAAGTAATAATTATTGTTTTCTTTTGGAATGTTATATTTTTTAATTACACATATAAAGCTTTCGTTAATTAAATTTCTGCATATTGTCAAAAGTATACAATTGATCCAATTAATGGTTTAAAGATTATTATAGTTTTATGCTATATCTCTCTTCAGCCCTAAGTAATCCAACTTTGGACATAGGCCTCCCCAAAATCAATCTAGTGTTTTCTATTTTACGCCACTTGCTTCCAGTTGTGTCCTACGATCTTCATCTCATTAGCCAATCTCATTTGTGCTGTTCCTCTGCTTCTCTTTCCCAACCATGGTCTCCAATGTTGTGTTTCGTGCTTCCATCTTTTATCCCTCAGTCGAGCATTGTTTCCTGCGAAGCTCCATTTTAATTTGGCAGCTTGTTCTCCTGCGTCTTTTACTTTGGTTTTGCTTCTTATTCATTTGTTTGTTTCTTTGTTTCAATGCCATAAAAGAGAAATATGTCAATAATTGCGTTTCTAGAGATAGTATCAAATACACCTTCTCTCTCTAAGATAGGTGCTACTAGATCTTATCTGCTATAAAGTGCTTTAGAGATATGTGTTTGGAGTAGGAGAAGATTAGAGCTTATGGAGCGCTGTTTCTGGTAGCCAGATTATCCTTTTGGAATATCTTGTGTTTTTCAAAATGCAATAAAAGACGTTCTCATTTTTTCCATTAGGTTACACATAGTGCATATGAGGGAGATGGGCCTATAACATAAAGGAACAATATTTGACTGACTTGACTTGAGTATTGCTAATAAAGGCAAAAAGCTAAAAATATTTTAAAACATTATACATTTATAATGTACCAATCCGAAATTAACTAAAAGAATTGACGTTTTGTAAATGATATTAATATTTTTTTATTACTTTTGCTAATAAATATATTTTTTACAGTATTGACTCAATAATGTTACTAGAAGAAGGATTTGAAGTGGTGTCCGTGGATGCTTCGGATAAAATGTTAAAATATGCTCTGAAATCAAGATGGAATCGACGAAAAGAAGCTGCATTCGACAAATGGGGTAAGTGTTTTGTAAAGTTACTGTATAAGCCATTTTTTGATTATTATACTTTTAAAGTGTTATCTTTATCTCTGCAATCGAAATAATCTTAATAATATAATCATATTAATAATAGTTTCTTCCTTTATACTGCCATTGCAGTTTAGAAGAGTCTTGCAGGGTGGTCTGTATTTTGTTATTCTATATTCAGTATACAAGGAAGGTAACAAAAGTACTTCTATGTTTGAACTGCATAGTATTACCTTTAGTTTCACCCAAGTTTCTTCTTTTAATATGAATTAAGCGATACAGCTCCCAACTACAGCATCAAAACGATCACAGTCTCTCTCATATGGTCGCCTTTTCATACTAGAATTACTGATAATAAAATAGTAGATCGTTTTGCCAAAGATGCTACCAACTATAATACTTCTTCTTATTCTTCTTCTTCTTCTTTGGGTGCCGTGTCCGTATTCAGACGTTGGCCGTCATCATGTTTACAATTTCCTGAAACCTTTCTCTGTCGGCTGCTGCGCGAAATAATTCTTCTACTGTGAAACTACACCATTGTCTAATATTACGCAGCCATGAAAGTTTCTTTCGACCAATCCATCTCTTTCCTTCCACTTTTCCTTGTATTATAAGGCGAAGTAAATGGTATTTGAGTCCTCTAATTATATGACCGAAGTATTCTGTTTTTCTTCTCTTTATGGTGTTTATGAGCAGACGTTCTGAGTTGATCATTTGAAGAACACCTTCATTGGAAGTGTGCGAAACCCACGATATCTTTAGGATTCGTCTATAGCACCACATTTCGAATGCTTCTAACTTGTTTAGCATTGTGGTTTTTAACGTCCATGTCTTACAACCATACAATAGGATCGACCACACATAACATTTCAGGACCTTCTTACGAATGTTCACTGACAGGTTTCTGTTGCATAAAACTGGTTTCCAGGTCATAAAAGCCTTACGTGATATTTCGATCCTGGATATTATCTCTTCATCAGAGTCATAATTTACATTTAACCAGCTGCCAAGGTATTTGAAATGATTTACCCTTTCTATCTCTTCTTTATTAAGAGAAAGCAGACCTTGATCTATATGGATCTTTCCAACTGCCATCCACTTTGTCTTTGAAATGTTGATTTTTAGGCCTCTCCGATAACTTGCTTCACTGACTAGATTTAGTAGTGTTTGGAGGTCTTGTAAACTTTCTGCAAGAATGGCTGTATCGTCAGCGTATCTAATATTGTTGATTACTTCTCTACCTAGTCTTACTCCCTCTTGTTTGTCATCCAAAGCCTCCCTAAAGATTTCTTCAGAGTACAGATTAAAAAGAGTGGGTGACAAAACACAACCCTGCCGTACTCCACGTTTGATGGGTATTTTTTCAGTGGGACTGTCTCCAATTTGGATAGAGGCTACTTGATTGTAATATAAGTATTTCAGCAGTCTTATATCATAGTGGTCAAGTTCTGCTGTCCGTAGGCAGTCGAAAAGTGTATTGTGTTGGACTCTGTCGAACGCCTTCTCGAAGTCGATGAAACAAACATAAACATTCTTTCGGAAATCACAACTTTTTTGTAATAGAACGCGCATACAGAATAGTGCCTCTCTAGTTTCTAGACCGTTTCTAAATCCAAATTGCTTATCACCCATCTTACTTTCGCATAGAAGGAATACTCGGTTTTGTATAATTCGTAAGAGTATCTTCAGTGTGTGACTCATCAAACTGATTAGTCTAAAATCGCTGCATTTGGTGGGCCTGCTTTTCTTTGGTAATGTTATAAACAGTGACTCTAACCAATCATCTGGTATTTTTCCTTCGTTGTAAATTTTGTTGAAGAAATGGTTAAGCAGGCAATGCTTTCCTCATCCAAAAGTTTAAGTAGTTCGGCAGGGATTTGATCTGGTCCAGGTGCTTTATTGTTTTTGGCTTGCTGTATTGCCTTTTCGACTTCCGAATTCAGTATATTGGGACCTCTGTCCAACTGGTTGTCATAGGCAGTATTTGGAGCATTTTCCCTAGAAGCATCGTCAAACTATAATACTGGAATCACCCAATTCAACTAGCTAACGATCTCAAACTTTCAGTTTTCAAAAAGTCAGTAGAGGATACTTGGCAAAACTTATGATAAAAGAGCAAAACAACTCTTTATGAATTCCAACCGTTTATTGTTCATCTCTCCCTGGACTTCCTAACTGGAAGAGAAGCATCCACTATTAGAAGACTCCGAATCAACCACATCAAACTTACCCATGGTTTCTTGATGTCCTCTGAAACTCGTCCAACTTGCCACCATTGCAATGTTTACCTGACTTAAAACACTTTCTCAGCGACTGCAAACAATTGACTAACCTCTATAAAGCACTGGACTTGAAACCTGCTCTTAAGGAAATGCTCAACAACCCTACAGAGATCAAAAAACTATACAGTTTCTAAAAACTGCTCAACTCTATCATAAGACTTAACCTTAACAAATAATAATTATATCACTAAAAGTGATATAATTATTATTTGTTTTACAAAAACTACATATACAGGTTCTAGAAATCTTTAAACCTTACCAGAAGATTTAACCTAATAAACATTGTGGTGGCACTATTTTCATGTTTTTGTCAAATATGTCCCAAAAATTTTGTTGAGAGCAGTATCCTTATGGTATTATAGAGATGTTTGTTTGCTAAGACGTAGCTGTTTTATTTTATGTGTTATTATTATTATTTTAGTTATCGAGGAAGCGAACTGGGTAACACTATACGACGACATCGAAGACTTAGTAGGAAATGGTTTTGATGCTGTCATTTGCTTAGGAAACTCATTTGCCCATTTACTTGACAATTACGGAGACCAAAGAGAACAGATGCGGGCTTTAATGAACTTTGAAAAGTGTGTAAAGCCAGGCGGTTTACTTTTGATCGACCACAGGAATTATGATGATATTATTGATACCGGAAGAACAGCACCAAAATGTATTTATTATAACGTAAGTAATAAATTAGTTTTCTTGAGCTTACTCTTCGTAAACATCAAAAATAAGTGGTTACATTATTCTAATTATGCCTGATTTTGTATGACTGGACTAAATTATTTAAAAAAAGTCGTAGTTTGCAAACACCAATACACACACCTGTTTGCAAACAGTAATATTTTATTTAATTTATAAAAACTTATATTTACTAAAAAAATAATAAAATGGAACTGCTAATAAACTTTCTAGGTTTTATAAATTATAAGCTATTATTAAGTTGTCATCAACAAACTTTATATTATTAAGTAAAAACTCATTCACACATGTCCTTGGGGTTTTTAAAACAATGGCTTTCAAAACGACTTTCTTGGAGTTAAATAATAGTGTCAATATACATCTTTGTCTAATTCATATCATATTAAATCCAAATACTCAGCATTTTATATTTCCACTACCACTCATGTAGAGAAATATCATTCTCATAATATATGCATTATACGTACAACGGTATATCCAAGTACCGCCTTCTTCTTTTTTATCCTTTAGTACTGTGTCCAAATCTAGCATGAAAATCTGCGAATATAGTTCTCGATCTTTGGTGGTATGTAACAATTCATCTGATGATAAATCACTCCATTGACGAAGGTTTTTGAGCCACAAGTATTTCTTTCAACTAATTCTTTATTTTCTTCTATTATTTCATTAAGTATTAACTGCAAATTTCAAAAATTTGTTATCTCTTATCATACGCTCCAAGTATTCGAGTATGGAAAACGATTTTTATGGCTACAAAAACACATGCCGAGGTGTATCAGGTTACAAAGAAAAGAAGTTAATGAACTACTTGACACGAATCAAATACCTAAGGAAGAATGGATCGATTATCCCGCCGAAACTGTACAAGATCGAAGACATAAAGGGATTGTTGAATACACCAGAAATAAAAGTAAATGACAATATTGAAATCGAAGCTCACGATATAAAATGAGCCCTCCAGAAATTAAAGAATAGAAAAAGCGACAGAACGAAATGCTAAATGAACTATTAAAATATGCTAGGTAGGATCTAATACAACAACTGACAGAGTTAATTCAAAAAATTCTCTCACTATGTAGAATAGCAGACATAGGATCCGACCACAATCCCTTAGTAGCAAATATCAAACTGAGGCTCGGTACAGCTAAAAGAAAACACCAGAAGGCATCAGTAAACATTAGAAAACTCAAAAACAATGAAACAAATGAAGCGTACACAGAGGAAATAAACAATAGGTTCTCTAATATGGCAACTGAAAATGATGTTGAAAAGTCATGGACCACCATAAAAGAATCATTTGATGAGTTGAACAACACTTTTCTACTCGAGAGTAAAACAACTACCAAGAATGAGTGGATGACAGAAGAAATATTAGAGATGATGGAACAACGCAGGCAGTGTAAGATCAGGCAGGACGAAGTAGGGTACCGAAATATACACAGTCAAATTCGTAAAGAAATTATAGCGGCGAAGGAGATCTGGATGACTACACTTTGCGCCGAGGCTGAAAGCCTATATAAACTCGGCGACAGCTTCAATCTTCACAAGAAAATTAAGGAAATTGCTGGTGTCTTCAAGAAAAAACAAGTCACTGGTATACATAATGACCAAAATGAATTAATAACGGACCCTAGCGATATACTTAATACTTGGAAAATGTACACAGCCAATTTGTTCAATGATGACAGAACACAAAAATCACCACAACTGGGAGACCATTTGTATGGCCCAAGTATTTTGAAAGCTGAAATTGTACACGCTATCAAACTATTAAAAAGTAACAAAACACCAGGACCAGATGATATGTACGCAGAAACAATCAAGTTACTTAATGAAGAAAACCTAGACATTATTGTCAAGCTCTTTAACGACATCTACGATACGGGCCAGATTCCAAAAGATTGGCTTCGATCTACATTTATCGCCCTACCAAAAACACCACGTGCGAACTTCTGCAAGGACCACCGACTAATAAGCCTAATGAGTAACTTTTTAAAACTTTTCCTGCGAATACTTCACACTAGATTGTTTAAGAAATGTGAACAGGTCAGTGGATGGAGTCAGTTTGGTTTCAAAAATGGACTTGGCACGAGAGAAGCGATCTTTAGTATGCAAACATTGATACAGAATTGTTTAGATCAAAGAAAGGATATTTTTATCTGTTTCATCGATTACGAGAAAGCATTCGATAATGTAAAACACGAATTGATGATAAAATACCTACAAGAGTTGGGATTGGATGCAAAGGATATAAGAATCATCGCCAATCTGTATTGGAATCAGACAGCAACAGTACGTCTTCAAAATTCCAACGAAACAGAAGATTTTTCCATTAAAAAAGGAGTAAGGCAAGGTTGTATACTGTCCCCAATGCTGTTCAATTTATACGTAGAAAAAGCCTTTGCAGAAGCAGTGGAAGACTCTAATAAGGGTATTAAAGTTAACGGCATATTTATTAATAACATCAGGTATGCCGATGTGCAGCCATAGTGGCAGATAACATCGAAGATCTTCAATGCCTTTTAAATGATCTAACTCTTGCAAGTGAAGCTCGGGGTTTGAAAATAAATATCAAGAAGACAAAATCAATGATTATAAGTAGAAATGATTATCCCAACGCAAAGATATATGTCTCTGGAGAAGAAATCAAACAAGTCAGGCAATTCAAATACTTGGGATGTTTGCTGAATGAGGGTTGGGACCACGAGAATGAAATAAAGAGCAGAGTTGAACAAGCCAGAAATGATTTTTTGAGTCTTCGTAAGTTTCTGACTGATCGCAAATTGGACTTCAACCTCCGATACAAGATGCTTAAGTGTTACGTGTGGCCTGTTCTCCTGTACGGAATGGAAGCATGGACGTTAAAGGCCAGTTCCATTAACAAACTTGAAGTATTTGAAATGTGGTGCCTGCGTCGAATGCTCAGAATATCATGGACGGACAGGGTCAGAAATGAGGAAGTACTCAGAAGAGCGGGCTTACAGGATAGGGAACTTTTTAATTATGTAAAAAGTAAAAAGACTGCATACTTGGGGCACATTATACGAGAAGAACGATACACTTTTCAGCAACTGATACTCGAAGGGAAGATAGAGGGTAGGAGAGGTCTCGGACGTAAAAAAATGTCATGGCTGCGCAATATTCGACAATGGACAGGAATCCACAGCTATGAAATGCTTCGCAATGCTGCTAAAAACAGAATTATTTAATCCAGAATATTTAACATCTCACCTGACAAGACGATGTACGGTGGACGCCTACGCAGAAATGCACGGCACCTTAAGAAGAAGAAGAATGTAGAATACCAAATAAACAGCTTTTCTTAAAAAATTAAATTAAAAAAGTTTTACTCGAATTATAGAGAAATAAACTTACTTAGCACAATATTCAAATTTTTCGATAATAAGAAGGTTATAACAAACAATATTAATAGTCTTATATTCCTAAGCGACGAACAACAAAGATTCCAATCAGGTAGATCTCACACAAATTCCGTTTTTGTCCTGAAAAGAAAAAAAATACCATTAATGTTTCATTGATCTAGTAACAGCATTTGACCGTGTCCAACTAATACATACATCTTCTCTATGATAGACAAATTCCACATAATGTAAACTAAAGATTGAAAACATATATAAAGAAGATCAAATTCAAGTTAAAATAAACGGAGAACTTACCAATCCAACCTAGCGGCAGATGGGAAAAGGCATTCGTAAGGGTGATTCTCTGAGCCCGTTGCTCTTTAACATGATTATGGATAACACAATAAAGTACTCAAAGGTAGAGGATAGAGGATAGGAAATAGGGAGATTAAATTTTGTGTTATGAAGATGACATGGCGTTGGTTGCCGAAAACGAGGCCGATCTACAACGTCCCCTTTAATAATTTATGACAACATCAAAGATTAGAAGATTAGAAGTAGAGGTGAATGGATCAATTATCCAAAAGAGATGAAGTTTAAATATTTAGATATAGAACTATGGCGACGTTGAAGCAGACGAAAGAAAACAAACAACCAGAGCAACCAAAATAGCTGGTTGTCTAGACAATACAATATGGCGTAATATCAACATTGGAATTGACTTTAAATCGAGAATATACAAAGCTACCTAAGGCCTATAATGACATACACCATACAAACTAGACCAGAAACAACAAAAACCAAAAGATTGCTTGAAACAACAGAAATAAAGGTTCTTCGTAGCATAGCTGGAAAGACTCTTGTGGACAGAAAAACAATTAAAAACATAAGAAATACATGTGGGGTAGACGATATTTCACGATCTCCAACTTGACAGAAGTAGAAGGTCTGCAAAAAAGGTGGAAAAACAATTTTAATTGATTGTCGCGACAATAAAGGAAGAACAATAAATATGGAGATCCCTCCAAATATGCCAGTCACAGGCATATTTGGAGGGATCTCCATGCAATCTGTCTAAAATAGGCAAACAATCCGTGGATTTTTCATTATACAGTGTGACTTATATTGATTAGGGCATTTTTTCTGTATACTTGTGTTAAATTCTGGTAAAATGTCACAAAAAAATAGCATACAAAATTACTCAGAAAGAAAAATATAAAAATTATATGTTTCTTTCTGAGTACTTTTATAAAGTGTATTATTCTACGAAGGATTTGAACTAAACCGTAGAGTGAAACACAAAAAAAGGTACGAACTATGTACTGAAGGTGCTATGAAAATATTAGATAAATCAAGAAAAAGACCTATAAAGAAGAAAAAAATGAGTAAAAAAAGAAATTTTGCAATAATGAAGAGAAAACAATGTTAAAAAATGGTTTAGAGCAAAATAAAAATTAAAAAACAAACTCATGGACATATTAGAACATAAACATTACTAAAAAAAATTATGAAATATTCTAAAAATAAATTTTGTGCTTAGGTATTAAATAAAGTAAAACTATAAATCAAACTAAGACTCACAAAATATGCATAGAACCGACACATTATTTTTGAGTAAAGTATTTATTAAATTACAACTATCTGATTAGCAAGATTCTGAAACTACTTTGTTGTGGCATGTCTAATTTAAATATTGAAATATATATGAAACGTCAAACATTTGTTAATTAAAAATAAAACTTTCATTACAGCCAATAATTGTGGCTTAATCCCACATAAACATAATATTTGAACTATTTGATTGTTATAAAATTTTACGACACATTTTAGTGTTAGTGTTATCTTTGACTTTCAAATCACCTAGTCGTGCGAATTTTAACCTATTTATATAAATTAATATTTTATAATATAATAATACAGATAATTTTATCTCAAACAAAGCTTGCCAAATTTCTGCGAAGTCAAAAAAAAGGATGATACAGCAATAAAATAATTTTATACATACCAGAGATAAGTTTTTGGTAAATATTTATGTATATTAAATATAATTAAAGTGTTGAAACGTTTTTGATAATGCTTATGATAATCTGTATGCAATACACGTTTTAAATTACTTAAATTTAAACTACTGGAAAAGTTTATCTTTTTTTTTTGTAGTTTTGTTGTTCATTTAGTACGTAGCTGGTATAACCATTCACCACATACTAAATTTATCTAAAATTTTTTTATTAAAATAGATGAAGAGTTCTTAAAGGTATTTTGAATCCTTTTTTTTTTCCTTCTTCTTCTTCTTCTCGTGCCGTCTCCACTAATGAAGGTTAGCTATAACCATTGCAAATCTTCTGCTTTTCTTAAGAGTATCTGTGTGTTTAACCCGGTCCAGTCTTACCCTTTTATTCTTACATGCTAATTTGTGTAGGTGAGTTGGGGTGAACATTGCAGGGTGTATATGGCCTCCACACACCCTGGTGTATATTGTCCTTAACTAAGTGCCTTGGTACCTGTATCCTCTCGGCTAGAGTCCTAAAAATAGATATTTTTTTGGTGGTTGTTTTTCTGATGACTGCATTCTTTTATTTGACGTCTTTGCGACCTTCTCATTCTTCATTTATTTATTTGGGACCCTATATCCGGCTATTTGCTGTTTAGGTCTTCTGTGTACTGTCCTGGTATTTGCGTTGTAGTTAGTCAGCTCTCTTAACATGCTACTTGGGTGGTTGTTTAGTCCGTTGAAAAGTTCGTATGCCTTTTTGTCCATTGTGTGTAGGATCCTTGTTTGTCCTGAGTCTCTGTATAAATTTCTCAGAGGTACGTATCTTGGTAAGTTCACGGCATCTTTTATTAGTTGGTTTTGCACTGTTTGTATTTTTTTCCTGCTTGTTTTACAGGTGTGTCCTCACGCGGCCGAGGCATACGAAAGGACTGGCAGGATAATACTATTCGTAATCCTGATTTTGGTTTTAAATCTTAATTTACTTCTTCTACCAATACGCGTCGAGAGCTGATTTTTCAGCGCTTTGGCTCTATATGCTTGCTGATTTATGTGCTGCGTGAATGTAAGTTTCTTGTCTAGTAGCACCCCTAGGTATTTGGCCTCGTTTGTCCATTCTACTGGGGTGTTCCCAATCGTTAGTTCTCGGTTCGGTACACTTCTTCTGTGACTAAACATTACAGCCTGTGTTTTATCTGGGTTTAAGGCTATTTTCCATTTGATGCACCATCTTTCGAATCTGTTAAGTGCTCTTTGCAGATGATTAGCTGCATGATCTGGATTTCTCCAGCTAACAGCTATTGCTGTGTCCTCGGCGTAAAGACTTAACGGGATTCGGGTTCTTTTGGCGTGTCGGCCGTGTAGATGGTATACAGGTAGGGCGACAGCACTGCTTCCTGGGGCACACCTGCCTCCAGGGTCTCGACTTCGGACAGGGTTGCCCTTGTCCGGTTGTTTCCCTGTTCGAACCCTGAACCTTCTGTTAGCTATTTATGATTCAAGGAGGCATGTCATCGCCTCGCTGTATCCCATTGAGTTCATTCTGTAAATGGGTCCGTCATGCCAGACCCTGTCAAATGCTTTACTGACGTCCAGAAATGCTGTTGCTGTGTACATTTTTTCGTTATACCCTTTAGTTGTAAATTCTGTAAAACGTAGAACTTGTAGTTCGCATGAATGTTCCCTTCCTGAAACCAAATTGAGCTTCTGGTATGGTGCCTAGTGCTTCCGATTCGTCGTTGAGTCTTTTTGATATAACTCTTTCCGCTATCTCGCTTATTGATGATAATAGGCTGATAGGTCTGTAATTTTGTAGAAAAGCGCCGTCCTTCCCTGGTTTTTTAATCATGATAATTTGTGCCTCCTTCCATCTATCTGGAAAATATCTTAGTTTGAGCATGTTGTTTATAATATTCGTTATGTAGACAATAGCTTTGTTGGGTAGGTTTTTTAGTGCCCTGTTTGTAATGTTGTCAAGTCCTGGGGCTTTTTTGGCGTTCGTTAGCTTTATTAGTTTTTTATAGATACAAGTTGAAGCCTCAGCACGGATTTCATTTATCTTGAGTAACTGAGTATTAACCTTGGAACTTTTGCACTTTATTATCTTTTTTACCCTCAGTTTCATTTTTAAGACAAAAAGGTTATTGTCTGAGGGGATATCTGCTCCAGAAAAGTCTTAACGCTAACAATGGAATTTCTAAATCCTTTTTTTTTTTGGCTAGATGAAATACGCATAGTATTAAAAATGATATGTCACACCAATACAATTTACACCTAAGTTATGGCCAACAACAAATCATTCTTTCCTTAACAATAGTTAGTGTAAATAGCAATAAACATTATTCAAACTAATAAAAGACAGAGTTCAACTAGGCCAGATCCAACACTAAATTTACACAAGAAAATTATATCTTCTCCTAGATGTTAAAATTCCCTAGGTGTCTTGGGCTGATACATTAAATCTTAGAGATAGTCATAACTGTTGCCACAAAAATTTAGTCACAAAAAGTATAAATAAATATTTTTTTTAAGTTTATTAGAAATAATTTCAAATCTATTATTTACGTCATACTTTACTTAAATTGTTTTTCTATATTATCCTAAATAGTGCTAATCTTTTTAATTTTTTTGTTTTCAGAGTTATCACACCACAGATATTAAAACATCAGTATTGTATATTGCTGGGAAGGCAGCTTTAGTAACCCTAGATTATTTAATTGACGTATCATCCTCAGAGAATGAAAAACGAGATGCTGTGATAGAAGACTCAATAAGGTAAATAATGCTTTAAGTACTCTCACACTTTTGCAATACACAGTTTACCTACTGTAGTTTCTATTCGAATTAATTCTGTTTTGTCTTAAATTATCTGCAGCTTAAAATGTATAAAATACTTATTTTGTTTTTTATTTTTAGCGAATTCCGCCTTTCCTATTATCCACACAGATTGAAAGTTTTCAACGAGATGTTAAGAAAATCCTTTGGCGAAAATTCCGACTACAAAATCTTTGGAGACTTTAAACGTTTGGAAGAAATTGACGTACCAAACTTTTATATCCACGTTATCGAAAAAAGTTCTACTATTTTTTAAGTAGTTTAGTATTTAAGTATTCCCTTTATTTAATTATTCTTATATAAGTTATTTTTTATAGTTAATATACATTTGCTGTTGTTTTATTAGAGTAAATATATTTTTTATTGTTTAAGATTATTTTTTACTTAACTTAACTTTCATTAAATTATCTCTGAACTAGTTGAAACACATTCGCTAGGAGACCGCCATTGTAAAACTTAAAATGGCAACTACATCTACTTCTCTATATCTAGAGTCGAAGATATAGTCTCTAGATATAGTCGAATATCAACAGAGGATGGGTCAAAATCAAGGTTCCGAAGATATTCCAGAAATCTGCTTGAACGAAATTTACAAGGCCCTAAAAAAGATGAAAAATAACAAAGCTCCGGGGGAGGACGGTGTCGTCACGGAAGCGATAAAGATAGGAGGCTCAGTACTGATAGCCAAAATTCAAAAGCTCTTTAATCTATGCCTATGGAATCAAAATACCCCAACAAAGTGGAATAATTCAATAACTGTACTCTTACACAAGAAGGGAGATATAGCAGACCTGGAAAGATACAGACCAATCAGTCTCCTTAACCATCTTTATAAATTATACACCCGAATAATAACGAATAGATTAGAGACAAAGCTGGATTTTTACCAACTTCGGGAACAAGCTGGTTTCCGCCCTAATTACGGCACAAACGATCACCTGCATTGCCTAAAAACCCTAATAGAAAAAACTAACGAATATAACCGTCCCTTGGCATTAATATTTGTAGACTTTAAAAAGGCGTTTGATACAGTGGAACTACCGTCCATCTTAAGAGCACTACAAGATTGCAGGATCGACCACAGATATTGTAATATAATTAAAAATATATATGAAAATGCCACAACAACCATAAGTCTATATTCTGCAACTAATAAAATAAAGATAAAAAGGGGAGTCAGGCAAGGTGATGCCATGTCACCAAAGCTGTTCATTACCGTTCTTGAGTATGCATTTAAAAAACTAACATGGCAACAGAAAGGAATATCCATCGATGGAGAAAGATTAAACCATCTACGTTTTGCGGACGATATCGTGCTTCTGTCAGATAATCTGGGAGAGATCAAAGACATGCTCCAAGAACTGAATGACATACTACAAGAAACTGGGCTGGAGATAAATTTCGAGAAAACCAAAATGATGACCAATATGGTTCCCAGCGAAGAGATACAGATCAATAACAACAAGGTAGAATTAATCGATAAATACACATACTTGGGTCATGAAATTAGAATAACCAGAGACAACCAAACCTGCGAGCTAAATAGACGAATCATGTTGGGATGGGCGGCATATGGACGGATGAGAGACATTTTTAAAACAAATATCCCAATTCACCTGAAAAGGAAGCATTTAACCAATGCATCTTACCAGTCTTGACCTACGGAGCAGAGACCTTAACTTTAACGAAAGCTACTGCCGAAAAACTGAGGGTAACACAAAGGCGAATGGAGCGATCAATGCTGGGCCTGACCTTGAAAGATCGCGTAAGAAATGAGGAGATACGCCGACGAACTGGCGTAGACGATATTATACTGCGAATCAATAAACAAAAGTGGAGGTGGGCTGGACATGTTGCTAGAATAAAAGACGGAAGATGGACGAAGAGATTATTGGAGTGGAGACCAAGAGCCGAGCGAAGTTGAGGCAGACCACCCACCCGATGGACCGACGACCTAAGGAGGATAGAAACAAACTGGATTTCAGCAGCTAGAGATAGAGAGAACTGGAGACGTTTGGAGGAGGCCTATATCCAACAATGGATGTGAAAATTCGGCTGGATGATGATGATGATCTACCTCTCTAGCAGCGAGACTTATAATTTCACTAGTGTAAAAATATTGATTTGAATAGATTACAAAAATCAGTTCTTGACTTCCAAGCTGTTAACGATAGATTAATTTTCCTCAAACTAGAAGCCAAACTGCGTAACTTCAACAACATTTAAGTTTATTCCATAATTACAACTGCAGATGACACAAAATAGAGGAATTCTACGAACGGCTACAGGCGACCATTCAAAATATTCCGAATAGTGATTAACTTTAATATGTGGCAATTTGATCGCAAAAGTCGACAACACCATATAAAATGAGAAATTAAAGGACTTATTTGCAAAATCTGGCACAGCTAAAAGCAATGCAAGATGAGACTAATTAATTAAGTTTGCTATAACTACTCTTTCATAAACACCCGATTTAAGTACCACATATAAATACCTACTCTATACTTAAAAAAGTTTTGGAGATAGCTGAAGAAACCAAATCGATTATATCATAATTATGATCAGCGAGCATTAATTATAATTATACTGTGATGAAAATCATCACCGCAACTTGATATAGCGTGAAATTTGGATCAGAACATATTATCTTCGTAGCCAAAAAAAGCTTAAACTTTATCTTCTTCTTCTATTGTAACCCTAGATTCTTTTTGTAGAGATGTAGAGATGACTCTACGGTAAAGAGGGGAGAGGTGTACGGGGAAGTATTGAAAATGCTGTGCGAAACAAACAGTCAATTTCTAGACTCAATCGTCAGACTCTTTAACAATATTTATAACAGCGGGGAGTTTCCTGAAGACTGGCTACAGTCAACTTTTATTGCCATACTGAAAAAACCAAAAGCAAAGTCTTGTGATTAACATCGGATGATAAGTCTAATTAACCACATTTCGAAGGCATACACCAAGGTTATTTACAACAGAATAAGCAAAAAATGCGAGGATAACATTGGAGATTCACAGTTTGGGTTTCATAATTCTCTTGGGACAAGAGAAGCACTTTTTAGTCTACAGGTACTCATCCAGCGCTGCAGAGATATGAACAAAGACGTGTAGAGATGCTTTATAGACTACGCAAAAGCATTCGATAATGTTAAGCACGAAAAGATAATTGAAGTTCTCCATAAGATCGGAGTCGACTACAGAGACATTCGAACAATAGAGAGTCTCTATTGGAGTCAAACAGCTAAAGTGAAAGTAGGATCTACATTGACCAATAAAATTAAGATCAAGAAAGGGGTACGACAGGGCTGTATCTTGCCTCCAATTCTCTTTAATATATACTCAAAAGAAGTATTTAAGACAGCGCTGCAGGAAAGCACAGAAGGCATAAAGATAAATGGAGAAATAATTAATAACATAAGGTATGCTGATGACACTGTGATTCTAGCAAGTAGCATGGAGTAACTGAGTTGCCTAATGAGTAAGATACAAAAAACAAGTGCACAATACAGACTCAGACTAAATATCACAAAAACCAAATGGATGTTAGTAAGCAAAACCCAACAACCATCACAGCAACTGATATTAGACAATGAAAGAATTGAACACGTGGATTCGTACATCTACTTGGGAACAACAGTTAACTCAAATTGGGATCAAGCGAAGGAAATACGTATAAAAGTAGAAAAGGCCAGAGCATCGTTCACTAGCATGAAGCAAATTTTCACCTCTAAAAGCCTCACCCTACCTCTCAAAATTCGACTTCTGAAATGTTATGTATTCCCGGTTTTGTTATATGGAATGGAGGCGTGGACAATGACCGCAACATTGATGAAAAAAGTAGAGGCCTTCGAAATGTGGGCTTACCGACGTATATTACGTATATCCTGGACTGAGCACGTGACCAACGAAGAGGTACTACGCCGGATAGGTAAAGAGAGAGAGGTAGGAATAAGTATAAAGAAAAGAAAGTTGAAATACTTGGGTCACGTTATGAGACATAATAAATATAGAGTACTACAGCTGATCATTCAAGGGAAAATAGACAGCAGAAGGGGTCCAGAGAGGAGAAAACACTCGGCTCCACACTTGGCTCCAAAACTTGCGGCAATGGTTCGGATTGTCATCTGCTGAACTATTCAGATCTGCCGTAAACAAAGTCAGGATAGTCATGTTGATTGCCAACGTTCGGAACGGACAAGGCACATGAAGAAGAAGAAATGACTCTGTCTGATTTTCAATGTGGCTTCAGTAAGTTGTCGTTCCATCGTTTTCGTGGTCTACCTACCGATCGTCTTTCTATTGGGGTTCTAACCAGTGCACATCTAACCAATTATTTAAAGCAACAGCTTCAAAGATACGGATAGCAATGATGATTGCCAAACTCCGTAGCGAAGAGGGCACTTGAAGAATAAGAAGAAATTTTACATTATTTCAATTGTGTACATTGTAAAAAATATTGAATACTTTTATTTTGTGTTTGTAGCTCCTGCTAATAAGCTGTTGCATTGATTACATTTATTATGCCTTGGTAGGTATTTTAGATTGAGGAATAGATTGGGTTTCTTAATTTTTGGCTAAATCGTAATTTGAAAAATGAAGTCGTTCTGCAGTGCATCAATATTGTATTTAGGTGATTCATTTCCAGTAGTTTTGATTGTTCTAATTGGTTGTCATTCGGGTGTAGTAGTTGTTGCCTATGCTCTAGGTAGCATTTTCGTTTCTCTTAATAATTTATATCTTCTACTTTTGTATGTATGTTTCTTGTTTTGTTTTAATACAATATATAATTATTAACTTAATGAAAAATAAAGATCGTTAACCCGTAACCGGTGACGTCCGATTTTAGGAACATAACCGGTGACGCAGAGTCTCCGGGACTCATCATAAATATGCTGGTCTCATTCAAATTTAAATATATATTTTATCACATTGTTTATAATAATCTGTTTTTTAGGCATTTTTGCAATATCCTATTGCCTTTTTAGTTCTTTCTGTTACTGACTATTCTTATTATTTTTTGTCAAAAGTTGCAAATAAAAAAAGTATGGTGTTACGTCGGAAAACTTAATTTTTTTTAAACGCGGGAAATATTCTGTCTAAACCATCGAATATGAACATTTTGTCATTTTGTTTTGGTCAAAATATCGAATATGCTGCAAACTGACGAAAATGGAATATTCGATATTTTGTTTTGTATAAATATAACTAAAGGCATATATATGTACAATGCAAAATGACGAATGTGTCACATTAATTATCTTCAGGGTTGTATTTGATACAGTTATTCAATTATAATCTGCAAACTGTCGAAAATACTAAACATTGCTGACAAGAACAAAACGCACGTGTTCACAATTTCTGAAT